AAATGTACGTAGACGATTAACGGGCTATATATCTGACCTGTAGTCAAGTCCCTATGGTTGTTATTGTCTAGGAGACAATATGATATCTATAAATTTCGAACAAAATTAAATGACGATTTTGATACAAATATGGTCGGAAATCAATAATATAACAATTATAGCCTATGTATGAGGTCAATACAGGATATATCGACCTAAAGAAGTATATTGACCTCGGAATTCGTCCTCAGCCAATATACTTCTTTCAGGTCAATATATCCTTGTATCGACCTCATACAAAGGCTATAATTGTATATTATATATAGAATAATACATGGCAAAATCCGTATCGCATGCTGTATTACCACGAGAAACCAATATCAGTCCCGAGGGCCGAAGGTCCCGAGTGCTGATATTGGTCGAGTGGTGATACAGCATGCGATACGGATTTTGTCATGTATTATTCTGTTTATCATATATTTAAATAGAATCAGATTAATGTGATATACGTTTTTTTTAAATCGTCCGAAAATATAACAAACAAAAGAACATAAGGATTTTCCTGTATTTTTCCAGCTGACTTAGTTTTTTTTTATAGACTTCCTTATTTGCTTAATATCCACATTTTAATGTCCCCTACAACCTTATTTCATGCTCAATATAGAGCTATGAAACTGGCAAATAATATACTTTAAGACCATGTATTTAAAAGCATTCACTAAGAATAGTGTCAACTGTTCCCTCCTGTAGAATACAACCCAACTTCCCAATATTTGTTGTTAAGTTTAATCATTATACTACAATCTGAACTCATTTGTATACATAAATATGGACAACAATGTTACCAAGTATCATCTATTCAAAGATTATTAACAGACAAACAGGGGATTCCTATATACACAGTCATTGGACAAAAGTGAGTTCCCACTAAAAAACTTATTGTATCTATTTTATAAAAATCGCTTACAAAGTGACTGGGTAATATTTTTTATGAAAAATATCGATTTTAGTTGAAATGATATGACATTTCTTGAGTGGGAACTCACTTTTTTCCTATGCCAGGAAATACAGCAACTGGACGTCAAAGGTCAAACGTTGACGTCATTTGATTTATGACGTCACGCCAGGTATGCGATACGGATTTAGCTATGCGATACGGGTTTAGCTATGCGATACGTGGTATGCGATACAGGGTAGGTGATACAGTCAGGAAAAAAGAACCTTTAATGGCTTTATTATATATACAAAATTGCTGTATTTTGTACTAAATATATGATAAATTCATATACCTCACGTAGATGTGTTTGATGTGACATGACGTCATACAGATAAGCGGTTTGACATGATGTCATACAGATTAGGTGTTTGATGACTGCAATCGATGACGTGACGTCATACAGATTAAAGGTGTGATAAAGCCCCCAATTTCTGTTACGGCCAGAAATCACCTTTAAATTGTAGCCAACGAAAGACAAAAATCAATAATAAAATTTAACAAGATTTATTATACACAAGTTTACAAGAAATATTACACAAATAGAAATGTCAACTTTACTGTTAAAATATATTTCCGATCCTTTGTCTTTCCTTAACTGTAACGGAAAAGTTCCAATAAGTTCACAATCTAGTATGATGTAGTTAACGTAAATGAACGTGTCAATCAAACAACTCCAGAGATCTTCTGAAAATCCAAGTATATTAATGACTATCTGTCTACTTTCGGTGTTTGTATATACAGTTGTCACGGAAACTTCTAGAACACTGTAGAAGAGAAAGTCATAGAAAATTGTAGAAGGGAAACTTCTAGAATATCGTAGGAGTTTAAATTACGCATCGTTGATTATGATCATTCCGGAATTATTATGTAAGTCAAATAGAAAGTTCTAATCATTCCATCAGTATCTATGATTGTTCCAGTGATTTTTAAACTGCACAATTATAACATTATTTTGTAAACAACTATAACCCAATTATATAAACATTATAAGGCCACACAAAACAGAATAGAGATAAGAAGATGTGGTATGAGTGCCAATGAGACAACTCTCCATCCAAGTCAAAATTTATAAAGTAAACCATAATAGGTCAAAGTACGGTCTTCAACACGGAGCCTTGGTTCACACCGAACAGCAAGCTATAAAGGGCCTGAAAAATTACTAGTGTAAAACCATTCAAACGGGAAAACAGGTTCATAAGTGTTTCTCGTTTCTCGTTTTTTTATATAGATTAGACCGTTGGCTTTCCCGTTTGAATGGTTTTACACTAGTAATTTGTGGGACCCTTTATAGCTTGCTGTACGGTGTGAGCCAATGCTCCGTGTTGAAGATCGTACTTTGACCTATAATGGTTTACTTTTATAAATTGTGATAGATAGAGAGTTGTCTCATTGGCACTCATACCACATCTTCTTATATCTATTAACCGGTAATCCACATTAACGACGTCTAAAAGCTATTCATTATGATATATTATGAAAGTATCGGATTACTGGCGAAACAATTCTTATGATTCAAAAAGTGGCGTCCGAAACATTGATAAAATCCATTGTCTATTAATGGGGACGGGGGTACCCACTTTCCATCCCTGAGTCTCGAAAGTTATTTAATCCTAGGAATTATAGACTCTGCTTTAATACATAGCTATTGGATAGTACTACATTGGGATACCGTTAGTATCGGATACCTGGGGTAGGCATTCTTAAAGGCCGACAAATTTCTTCCGGAACATAGAAAAAAGTCATATTCTATAAAATGGGGATTAGGGGTACTCACTTTCCAACCGTAGTCTCGGCAGTTCTTTAATCCTAGGTATTATAGACTCTGCTTTGATAAATAGCTATTGGGTAGTACTACATTGGGATAGTATCGGATACCCGGGGTAAGCATTCTTAGGGGCCGAAAGGGGATATTGTACACATGTTTTATTGTCGGTTTTCGATATTAAGATGATTCACTAATCAACATTTTTAACTAACAATTGAGGTTTGGATGATGAGTTAATATTACAGATATTTTTTTGTGATTACACATGGTAATCCGGGGAAAGCTATTGTTGGATTTGTTTCCTTTCGTAAAATCATTATATACTGACGGGCTTTAAAAACGCAACACACATTGATTGATCCTCATATACTAATATTCATGCTTACTTCTTTCTGTTTAGAAAAAATCAATATCAGACTTACCCGAGGTTATTGAACATACCGGATTATTGAAGTCGCACGAATTTCTTAAAGCGAAATTTGAAACCCATAAATGATTTTTTAAGGTTTTTTCTTCGTGAAACAATTCTTTCAATCCAAACCCACACTTAAATCAGTGTAAAAATGTTGCATCTCCATATTGCTGAGACTGAGCAATGAAAATCTGAATCAGCCCACAAGAATATTGCAAGCAGGAAAACGTGAACGTGCTGTAACCAGACAATTTCACGTCAGAAACTCGTCTTACTGTCTTTCAAACAACGATACAGGCAGACGGGATTTGTTGATGACCATCAAAGACCAGATCAATATGTAGTGACAACGCCACGTCAATAGAATTTGATAACGCAACGTCATTTGCGAGACATGTTTATTACAGCCGCAACGTCAACTGCTAATCAAGTCGCCGAATGCCAGGGCAGACAGATTCATGCCATTAATGTTTCCCATATACTGAAATGCAAAGAATCGACTGCAGAAAAACATTTAAAGCCCTAAAGTTTAAACCGTATAATTGCCAAAACACACTGTAATGGGTGAGACAAAGGCGTCAGAAAGTACAAAACAGAATCAAAATATGCCCAACAGAATTGGTTGACCTTTCCGACATTAATTTTGGCGTTGGTTACATGCAGTCATTGCCTTCGACGGTGTCACGTCCATTGATAAGGGGGAAACCAGGGTTTCAGTGCGTACCACATGATTTGAACATTAAAAATGACGTAATCAATTAAACTTTCGAACTGCAAACATTTTTTAGACAATGAAGTAATGAATAAAATTTGTATTCATACATTTTGTTCAACAAAAATTGCATATTTGAAAATGGGAATTAAAAAGAATAATCTAGTGTTGCGTTTCTACCGTCGGTCAGTATAGTTAGTTGAAGTTGGTATGAGGGAGCTTATCGTGTGTAGGCTGGAGAAAATTAATGTCTGTAAGATATCATACACTGATATTTACCCTTCCAAAAATGGAAAAGATGCTTACATACTTGTTCTTTGATTAGTTGACAGTGGCGGATCCAGAACTTTTAGTAAAGGGGGGGGGGGGGGGGGGGGGGCGCTGACTGACCTAAGGGGGGCCCGCTCCAGTCACGCTTCAGTGATTCCCTATATAATCAACCAAATTTTTACCACGAAAGGGGGGCCCGGGCCCCCCAGCCCCCCCCCCCCCCCCCCCCCCCCCCCGGATCCGCCTATGGTTGATATTTTACATTGGCAATCATACCACATGGGCATCATACCTAATTTCCATATTTTTATAATAAAAGATATCTTACAGTAAATGTCCTCTTTAATCCGAGATAAACAAGACACATCATGCAGATTTTACACTGGGCCGCTTTCTAATATCACAAGTGTTGTCAAATATTTGAGGTGTCGAACTAATGAGGTGTTTGACGAACATTTCATTTTGTTTTCTCTTTATTGACTTTATCAATTGGAGTTTTATTTCACATTTCTATACAAAATTATACTAAATGCGATAATAACTGCAGTGCCCCTCGGTAAATAAAATCTTAATGTATGAACATTTTTAATCAACTTATATTTACAAAGGGGCGGAATGACCTTTTTTTCAGGACGTCGGGATTGAGCCTTTTAATCGCGTAAAGTCGGGAGTAGCCAATTTTAAATTAACAGTTCGCTTTTTAAAACTCAGTAGTTCTGATCTATTCTCGAAATTTCCTTTACCACAAAATCTTAAAATAACATATATTCACCTTGAACTTGAATTAGTTATTTGCGTTATTTATATTTTTAGAAACTGGTATTTTTTCTAGAGCTTTCGAGTGTCCATCTTTCACACTATATATAAGTCCCCAAAACGATGTCTGAAAAATACCGTGCACACCATAATATTAGCTCCAGACTTTCAGCTAAGTACAATAAGCAAAAAAATGGCGTTCATCCCAGTGCTTTGGAACCGCTTCAATCAAATGCAGCCTGATTCTGATGACATGTTCCACTTTATGGACGACTGGGAGCCTATGTCCGTAGGCTTGGGATATGGCCGCCCCCTGACGAGTAGAAGACGCAGACCTGAGACTTCACTGGCGGATAGAAAGTGGACCTACAGCGTGAAGATTGGAGACTTCGATGCACAGCATGTCAAAGTGAAAGTTGAGGACGGTAAGTTTTTTTTTCATTACCTTAAACGATTATATTAACATAAGGACATGTGGTATGGTTGCCAATGAAACAACTATCACCAATTAGACTAGCTGCGGAACTGTAGCTCATAGGTTCTCATGATATTTTTGACAATTTACAGGCAATATGGTTATCACAGGCGCTCATTTAAAGTAAATGTTTTTTTAGTATTTTGACATATTTTCCCCACTTTTTAACGCATTTTTGCAATTATCTTCACTTTTAAAAACAAATATATTAAAAGAGGGTCAACATTTTTTTAAGCGTAAAGATAATTGCAAGAATACATTTAAAAGTGGGAAAATAAGTTAAAGTACTAAAGAAATTCAGAAATTTTACTCTAATTGAAAAAAGGGGGATCCATACCCCGAGCGCTTGTGGTGTGTTGCCCGTTACGACGTGTGTTGAAATTATGATAATTTTATAATTTTGTAATATACACCTTTCAACCCAATCACCTACGTTGTTACGTACCATTTTATCACTATCACACAGGTTTTTTTTTCTCTCCGACTACTTTTCAGGTAAAGTACTTGTTCATGCTAAGTACACAGATGGTAATAATGAATGGGGAGATACTGTTGAACGAAAGCGGACAGTCAAGGTTCCCGAGAATGTTGATGCTGAAAAAATTCACAGCTTCATGAGATCAGATGGAACTCTGGTATTGGAAGCCCCGTACCATCATCCAGAGGAGAGACAACTCCAAGTTGTCACAGTACCACATGCAGGTGGTGCATTAGTGTCAAGTGATAGTCACAGCAACTTGATGAAATTCAGTGTTGAAAATTTTCGACCAGAGGAGGTTAAAGTATCTTGCAAAGATGGAATGTTGACAGCCCAAGGAGAACGAAAGAGGTCTGAAGATGGTCTTGAAGTTCGTGAGTCGTTCTGGCGTCAGATGACAGTTCCAAGGTCTGTGGATGGAAAGAACATTGAATGCTTTAGAGATGACGAAGGGAATCTTACTATCCGTGCACCAATGGCTGAAGATGTTGAAATGGAACAAGCCAAAAAGTAAATTCAGATTGACTCTCAGTTTTACTTCTATTTTGTCATCTTCACAATTCCAGGCTGAAGACTGGAAATTGGAACTTATACATACTCTAAATGTCAATATCATTGTTTTTGAAAGGCAAATATGAAAACATAGCATAATTTCTTGTTTGTACAATTATGATATAACTATCAAATCATTCAATTTTGTATACATTTAGTTTGCTTCAAAAAAGAGGATTGATTATTATTCTATATGATAATTTAGCTTTTTAACGTTATTTGAAGCTAATGATGCAGAAATCACAATTCGCTTGTTTGACAATCATGTTATATATATAATTGACTAATTTGTTTAATGTTGCATAATTTTTAGTTCACTTTAAAAAAGAGAACAAATATGATATTTTGTATTTTTGTTGTTGTCAGTGATAGACATTAAATAATCGAAACAATATATTTTATCAGTTATTAATCATGTTCAGGTAAACAACCACACAAAAAAGACACACATATGGAGAAAATACAGAAAATCCCAGAAAGAATGTTAAAAAAAATTAAGAAATCTGAATGGGAATGCATCAATTTAACTATAAATTGAAAGTATATATAAACAATATTTGAGTATCGCCCCTAAAAAAGCAGGCCAACTGATAACACACAGGAAAGAAAAGGCTGAACTACTTCATGCTACAGTCATGCTTCAGTGATTCCCTATATAATCAACCAAATTTTTCCCACGAAAAGGGGGGGGGGGGGCGGGCCCTTCAGCCCCCCCCCCCCCCCCTGGATCCGCCTATGGAAAAAATGTCAAAGAACTATATAGGTAAGTCGACCCAGACAACAAACCAAATATAGTACTCAGAGAATGTGCCGAAAACCTGGCACCAAGTCGAACAAACAGACAAATGAGAGTTGCAGGGAGAATTTTCAATTTTAGACTGCTGCAAGACTTAGAATTGGGCCCATACTATATATTTCTCTGTCACACACATGATCTCTTGATGCGGTAAAATCACAAGGCCTACTATTTTCAGACGACCGCCTACTTTACAAGGACATCAACTCCTAAAAAGACAACAACATCAACCTCATACAAGACTTGACGGCCAAAAACTAGGGTATGAAATTTAATGTAATAATTGGCTATATTATGTCTATTTTAAAACAAAACATCAAGTAAATTTTACCAACTCAGTGAACATTGTCATTTGGTCTCTTGTGGAGAGTTGTCTCATTGGCAATCATACCACATCTTCTTATTCCTATATATACTAGAACAGGTAAACACGAACCCATACCTCGGACTCTATATGTCATCTAACGACCTAAAATGGAGAACACACATAGCAAACACAAGCAAAAAAGCAAGTTCAACTCTTGGTTTCCTTAGGCACAATCTACAATTGCCCTAAAAGAATCCATATATCTAGGAAGGTCAATCATGGAATATGGAGCTATAGGCTTATAGGACCCATACACATCAAAATCCAGGGAAAGTTTAGTTTTTTAAATGTTTTTATGTTATATATTTGTGTAAATCCAGCCATGCATAAAAAAAATGATTGCGCGCAGTTTTGTCTGTAATGTGTATAGTTTAGGTGTAAACACGACCATTTTTGCCAAAAGGTTTAATATGATGATCGAACCTTAAAATCCGAACATTGTAAATTACATGAATTATAAAATTAAAAGCTATCATGTCTTTTCATCGGGGTTGGCTTTTGGTAGAGAGGTTTTATATCTATATCTGTTATTATTGCTGCATAGTCAGATATTCCTGGTATACTGGTGGAAGACTTAAATACCAGTAAAGCATTTTTAGTAATTAGTAGGTTCAATGGGGGTTTCTCTCTCATGAAAGTTCTTCATTAATTTGTTGATATTTCGATTATGGTTTTTTGTATATCTCGGTCCTGGGATTAAGAGTTGACTGTTAGGTTGTTCCATTCAATTTCTGGACAGAAAGAGTTGCAACCTTAGTTTTAGTATAAGTGCATACTTAGTAATTCAATCATTTTTAGAACATGAAAATGTACAGAAAAAATGTACAGTAAAAATGTACAAGTTTAATCATGCCAATAAACAAGCAACGGCTATTGAGCAGATGGTATTATCAGGGACTTATAGTTCTCCTGCAGAGGTACAATCAGGGACTAGCAGACCGCTAACAGTTGTTCGATCAGTAACATACAGTCCACTGGTAGTGCTTCAATTGAAAACTAACAGCCCACTAGCTGTGGTATCAACAGGAACTAATAGTTCACTGGCAGTGGTACCAACAGAAACTAACAGTCCATTTGCAGTAGCCCAACTAGGGATTTACAGTCCATTAGAAATGGTACTATCGAGGACTTACAGTCTACTATCAGTATCACCACAAGGTACTAACAGTCCAATAGCAGTGGTACCATCAGGGAATAACAGTCAACTAGCAGCGGTATCTTCAGAAATTAACAGTCCACTAACTGTGGTACCATTAGGAACTAACCATCAAACTTCAGTGGTACCATCAGTTACTAAGAGTCCACTAGCAGTGGTATAATAAGGAACTAACAGTCCACTTGCAAATGGTACCATCAGGGATTTACAGTCCACTTGCAATGGTACCATCAGGGATTTACAGTCCACTTGCAATTGTTATCTCAATGGTACCATCAGGGACAAACAGTCCACCACCAGTAGTACCATTAGGAACAAACAGTCCACTAGCAATCACCAGTAATGGTACCATCAGGGACCAACAATCCACCAGCAGTGGTACATTAACAACAAACAGTCCACTAGCAGTGATACCATCAGAGAGTAAAAAAAAAGTTTTTGTTGATCTTGTATTGCTCATCATTTTTTCAGTTTGCAGTTTCTCTCTATCATTTTTAGTTTACACAAAAGGGTAAAACAATCGTCATTTAAGGGCAATCACTCCTATTAAGAGTGGCAAAACTTGAAATATTTGATCTTGTCTTGGTGATCGTTTTTGCTTTTAAAACTAAAATTGTCTGTCTATCTTTTATAGCTTTTATGATAATAGGTAGAAACGGAAAAATAGGTAAAAATAGTCATTAAAGAACAATAACTCCAATAATGTCAATTGATAAGTTCGGCCATTTGGCTTATTTGTAGACCTTGTCTTGCTAATCACTTTTGCTAATTCAAGTTTTTATCAGTCTATTATAGTTTTTAGGATATGGGGTAAAACGCCCCAAAAAATGTAACAAGAGTGCACACGCTGAAATATCTCGCCTTCTTTACTAATCATTGATATTATGTTGATAGTCCTAAATATAAAGCTTTATTATACCCCACGCAACGAGTTGCGGAGGGTATAATGTTTTTGACCCGTCCGTCCGTCTGTCCGTCCGTCAGTCCGTCAGTCCTGTTTCTTGTCATCGAAACTCCTCTCAAACCACACAACAGAATTTCACGAAACCTTTTTAGATAATAAGGCCATACTATGTAGTTGTGCATATCGACAGGAAATTACGATTCAATTCTTTTTCAAGGAGTTACGCCCCTTTGAACTTATTTACTTTAATGTACTACTGCAACAGTTTGTCATCGCAACTCCTCTCAAACCACACAACAGAAATTCATGAAACCTTTTCAGACAATAAGGACATACTACGTAGATGTGCATATCGACAGGAAATTACGATTCCATTGTTTTTCTAGGAGTTACGCCCCTTTGAACTTATTTGCCCAATATACTACTGCAACCTTTTGTCATCGCAACTCCTCTCAAACCACACAACAGAATTTCATGAAACCTTTTCAGATAATAAGGACATACTACGTAGATGTGCATATCGACAGGAAATTACGATTCCATTGTTTTTCCAGGAGTTACGCCCCTTTGAACTTATTTGCCCAATATACTACTGCAACCTTTTGTCATCGCAACTCCTCTCAAACCACACAACAGAATTTCATGAAACCTTTTCAGATAATAAGGACATACTACGTAGATGTGCATATTGACAGGAAATTACGATTCAATTTTTTTCCAGGAGTTACGCCCCTTTGAACTTATTTGCCCAATAAACTACTGCAACCTTTTGTCATCGCAACTCCTCTCAAACCACACCACAGAATTTCATGAAACTGTGTAGATAATAAGGACATACTATGTAGATGTGCATATTGACAGGAAATTATGATTCAATTTTTTTTTCTGATACAATTTTTTTTTCTTACACTTATTTTATTTCTCCAATGACAATGTGGGGATGTGGGGTATGTGAGCGCGCTCACTAAGGTTCTTTAATTACAACTGTCACATAAACTTAACATTAACCAATGAACCATGAAAATGAGGTCAAGGTCAGATGAACCATGCTAGGTAGGCATATACAGCTAACAATTCTTCCGTACAACAAATATAGTTGACCTATTGCTTATAGTTTAAGAAAAACAGACCAAAACACAAAAACTTAACACTGAGCAATGAACCTTGAAAAAGAGGTCAAGGTCAAATAAAACCTGCGTGACTGACATATAGATCATAAAATATTTCCATACACCAAATATAGTTGAACTATTGCATATACAATGTAGTACTAGAAAAAAAGACCAAAACTCAAAAACTTGACTTTGACCACTGAACCATGAAAATGAGGTCAAGGTCAGATGACACCTGCCAGCTAGACATGTACACCTTACAATCATTCCATACAACAAATATAGTAGACCTATTGCATACAGTATAAGAAAAACAGACCAAAACACAAAATCTTAACTATAACCACTGAACCATGAAAATGAGGTCAAGGTCAGATGACACCTGCCAGTTGGACATGTACACCTTACAGTCCTTCCATACACCGAATATGCTAGACCTATTGCTTCTAGTATCTGAGATATGGACTTGACCACCAAAATGAGGTCTAGGTCAAGTGAAAACTGTCTGACGGGCATGAGGAACATGCAAGGTACGCACATACCAAATATAGTTATCCTATTACTTATAATAAGAGAGAATTTAACATTACAAAAAATCTTAACTTTTTTTTCAAGTAGTCATTGAACCATGAAAATGAGGTCAAGGACATTGGACATGTGACTGACGGAAACTTCGTAACATGAGGCATCCATATACAAAGTATAAAGCATCTAGATCTTCCACCTTCTAAAATATAAAGCTTTTAAGAAGTTAGCTAATGCCGCCGCCGGATCACTATCCCTATGTTGAGCTTTCAGCGACAGAAGTCGCAGGCTCGACAAAAATCATCATTCAAGCGCAATAACTACAATAAGTAGTTGTCTGACAATTTTGGCCATGTTGACTTATTTGTAGATCTTGTCATGCTGATCGTTTTTGCTAAAGAGTTTTAGAGAAGAGGATTTTTTAAAATGAAAATGGGTCAGTGGAAAATAGTCATTTCATACTTTCATCTTTGAAATACCCTTATATCAAAGTAGTGCACTTGCAAGAATTTTGTGCAGAGGAGTGAGTCACTT